CAGGAACGTGCGAATCGGGCGGCTGGCATACGACCGGCCCAACCGTTCGGCCGGCGCGCCGGCGCCTATCACTGCCCCATCTTTTATAAGCCGGCACAACTGGGCACACTTTCTGCCCTCTAACGCACTTAGGCCTCGGTTCATAGGATAGGAATAACATAAAAATAGGAAAAATCCTACACGCTATCTCCCGTCAGATTTGTTGCACGAATTTTGGCAAATAGAAAAGCTGGTGAACGTTAGAATTCTGGTCCCTCATTTTTTTCCTCCTGTTTTTTTGAAAAATGGCAAATTGTGTTCTTTTTTGCTTAGGATACATGGCATTTCTTCTAAAAAAATCAACATGGCAGTTTTTATATTTATTGAAACTATGTTCACAAGTCAAATTTGTTTTTGTACATGGCAGTTTTTATATTTTTTTGAAACTATGTTCACAAGTCAAGCTTGTTTTTGTACAACATGGCAGTTTATTAATATTAGGGATGAAATTTATTATTGCGGATGACATTCTTTTTCAGTGGCATGGCTGTTTTGTTGTTAAGCGCATGGCATGTTTGTTTTTATAAATGGCATGCCAATTTTTTTCTAAGTGCATGGCATTTTTGTTAATAATAGGTGGCATCTTTATTATTTGAGAGGATGTCATTTTTAATGTTGAGGTGATGGCATTTTTATTTTTAATGGCATGACAATTTTTATTGCTAAGGACATGTAATTTTTTATTAGTAATAGGATGCCATTTTTATTATTGAGAGGATATCGTTTCATCATTGAGAGGATGGCATTTTTATTGTTAATGGTGTGGCAATTGTCATTGGGGCTTATGTAGACATACTTTTTTTATCTAGTGGATGGCATTTTATAGAGTAGCATGACAATTTTCACATATTCAGAGCATGGCATTTGATAAATTTATATGATTTAGTTTGTTCATGGCATTTTCTACCTAGAGAGGTGGCAATTTTTAATTATGTATTTTTCATGTAGAAATATCCAGGCTCGAGATATAATTTGTTTTTTGCGGCCCGTTAATGCATTTTTTGGGCCAGATGAGGTCACGCTGGGACCCACTACAACGAATGTACAAGGAGAGGACCTTCCATTCTGTGGTTTCCCGTCTCCCTAGTAGAGAACAAAACGATCGCGCGAGGCTGGCTATGAGCTGACGGTAGCCAGATATTAGGGACCTTAATTCATAGTTAAGATTTTTTTTCAACAGTTCATGCTAAATTTTTTCTTAGAAATGTAAAGGATAAGAATCAATCCTACATCAAAATGAGAATTCACTCTTAGTAGCCAAAAGGCTCTAAAGAAAATTTTCATATAAAAATCTACAAGCAAAAAACCAAAGAGGCCTTAGCGTTTTGGCCATCCAATCGAGAATCTGCATCGTCTTGCCGTCGGACCTTTGATCTAACGCAACACTTCTCACTAACTGGGCCGCACGTCCTAAAGGGTCGCTATTCCCGTCGAAAATTTGTTTACCCCTAGTTATCAAGGCCTACTTCCCGCATGAAGTCCACGAGTAACTCCTCTCTTGAGCCCTCCCTTTGCGCATTCCCTACTCAATGCTCCTTGCATCAAACTGGGCAGAACCTATAAAACACCCGTGTGCGTCCGTTCGTCGCTGCTTCACTAAAGCGAAGGGAGCGAACTAGGCGCACGGGCCGGCCCACTTCAAGCGAGACCTGGTTTTGGGAACCTTCTAGTCCCTCCGTTCCTAAATATTTGTCTTTTTAGAGATTTCAAATAGACTATCACATACGAATGTTTATAGACATATTTTAGAGTATAGATTCACTCATTTTGCTCTGTATGTAGTCACTTGTTGAAATTTTTATAAAGACAAATATTTAGAAATGGAGGGAGTAGTAGGTTCCCTGAACCGGGTTCTTTTGTATTTTTTTTCCTGTTTCTATTTGTTTACCTTTTGTTTCCTTTTTCTGTTTCTGTTTCTTTTCTTTTATTTTATCCTTTTACGTTTTACTTTTATACTCCCAATTTTTGTAGTTAGTACTTTGTTTTTGAGAAAATTGTTTGAATTCCATTTTTTTTCATGATTTCAAAAAAAATCATGGATTTAAAATTTTGTTCACTTTAAAAAAATGTTCAGCGTATATCACAAAATGTTCAATATGTATTTAATATTTGTTCAATGTATATAACAAAATTGTTCAATTTGTAGTTAAAATTGTTCAACATATATTACAAAAATGTTCAATGTATATTTAAATGTGTGCATCATATATCAAAAAAATTACACTCTGTAGTTAAAAATTGTTTGGCCTATTTTCACAAAAAATTCTTGAAACTTATAAAAATTGGATTTTAAAATTTTGCCCGTGGTCAATAATTGTTCACGTTTTTTTTTGCAAACATCACGTTTTAAAATTTTGTTTGAGAAAACATTATTCATTTCTTGAAGGAATGATTAAAAGATGAATCTACCGCTGCACATAAGACCTATTCTTGAGCGCTGTAGTCCAACATGTGGTCAGTCGCTATTTTTTCAACGTATGGATGTGTCGCAGGTTCGACTCTCGAACGCTGCATTTTTTTCGTGGCATCTGTCTTTAGAATGGGCCGGCCCGTTTTGCGCGAATTCTTCAGCGGAAGCTGCTCGTTTTTGACGCACACGAGCGGGAACTCCTATATGTCTCGCTCGGGAGCTCCTAACCGGCGCCTTAAGCGCCGGTTCAG